GAGTTGTGTTGTTTTCTTTTTCCGGAAAAGGATCTAGATACTGCTACAGGCTTTTTTTCCCCAGTACCTTAAAAATAAAATAATAAAAAAAAAGTTAATGTTAGCCTGCATTTCACTACTGGGGAATTTCTAAAGAACTAATTGTTGGAGAAAGAACTTGAATTTTATTACAGTTTGGCTCTTTATTGCTTTTTTTTTAATATGTGTGGTACTTTTCAGGCCGATTTAATTTTCAAAAGAATGGCTGTTCTCAAGACTTACTCTGTTTCAGCAGTAGACTGTTGAAAATTTACATCTAAAAGATCTCTGTGAGTGCAAAAAAAGGAAAACTTTCTTGTCTGGGCAAAATGTATTTCTGTTAACAGGAGTATATCCTCACCCTTCTAGAGTTTGGCGTTGTGCAGTGCAGCAGGTTGCGTTTTGCCAGCAATGTGCTGTGTAAGAGTCATTGCAGCTTTGCAAATGCCTTATTAAGAATGTAGATTGGGCTGGCAGAGGATGTGTCCTTAGTGCTTTTAATAGGGCATACGCAATAGCTTATTTTAAGGGAGTATTAATAACTTAACAATTGTGTTTTATATATAGAAATATATATACATAAATGAAAGGAACATATAAAACCACTATGCCCTAACAGTGAAAACAGTTGCCAAAACTTCATTTTAGTAATCAGCTACGTTTTTACAGATCATCACAAGAGGGCAGTGTTTTATAATTTTATATTTTATACAAAGATGTAACTTCTGGCGTTCTTTTACGTTAAAAAAATATAACAAGCTTATAAAGCAGTCAGTCAGATATTACAGTAAATCTAGGGCCTGTTTTAAGTAATTTAAATTACCAGGGTTCTTACTCAGATGAGCATCAGTTTTTAAAGGAATCCTTATAAATATGTTCTGAGGGTTTTTTTCCAGTTTTTATTATGGAGGTCAAAGCTAAAAGGACTAAATTTGTTTTTAAATAAAAGGTATTTATAGATCTTATAGGATTTCACAAATATTTTGCAATTGTATTCTGCCAGGCACTATTTATTAGTAACCGTACAGTTACAGGTATCTGGCCTGTAATCTATAGTATATTAATATGCTTCCAGATATAAACAAGAACACTCTCTAAATGAATGTGTTCAATTACTCTGCTCTAATTTTAGCAGAGAGGATGTAGGTAAAGTATGTTTCAGCAGAAGTGTGTACATCAGACATGATTATTGTTCTGTATGTATCACAGAATGGATGAAGTCAGAAGGGACCACAGTGGATCCTCTGGTCCATCTCCCTGGCAAAACAGGGTCATTCTAGAGCACATGGCACAGGATTTCATCCAGATGGTTCTTGAATATGTCCAGTGAGGGAGACTCCACAACCTGTCTGGGCATCTATTCCAGTGCACAGTAAAGAGGTTCTTCCTCATATTCAGGTGGAACTTCCTGTGCATCAGGTTCTGCCCATTGCCTTTTGTCCTATTGCTTGGCACCACCATGAAGAGCCTGGATCCTTCCTCTTGACACCCTCCTTTCAGATGTACATTGATGAGGTCCCCTCTCAGGCATCTCTTCTTGAGACTGAACAGGCCCAACTCCCTCAGCCTTTCCTCATAAGGGAAATGCTCCAGTTCCCTAATCATCTTTGTTGCCCTCTGCTGGACCTGCTCCCGGAGCCCCATGTCTGGAGCTCCATGAGGAGCCCAGAACTGGACACAGCACTCCAGATGTAACCTCATTAGGGCTGAGTAGAGGGGCAGGATCACCTACCTCGACCTGCTGGCAGTGCTCTTCCTAATGCACCCCTAGGCCAGGATACCCTTGGCCTAGTTGCACCATTGACCATTGGTGTAATTGTAGCAAAATTTACATAAAAATTCTTTATGCTGAGGGGTGGCAAACATTTTGGCCCTGTTGTGTGAAAAATGTTGTTTAAGTCTGTTTTACACTTGTCTTTCCACTGAGTGGTGCAGTTCTGCTAGGAAGGGCAGTTGTAGCTAAATCGATGCAGAACAGTTAATAAAGAAACACGACTATCTCCTGCCTTCTGAAGTGCCTTACTGACTAGTCTTGATCAGAGCAAAATTTCAGGTTTTAAATGGGTCATGTTTTCATGTAGAGGATAATGAGTAGTTATATCAATTTTTGCTGAGGAGCTGGCTGAGGAAACACATCTTTAAAAACAGCATACTTTTGTTCCTGATTCAGCTCCTTCCCAGTATAAAATTGCCATGAAAGTTTGTAATTTATTGTTTTAGAGGAAGAGTAATGCCAGCTTGTTGCCTGTTCAGCTGTCTTTATTCATTATCAGTGTGTAAGATGAACTTAGGAAAAAGATTTAGGCTTGGGTGGAGTGGAGCAGAGAACTGAAAACTTAATCCAAGCTATGTGCTGTGTTTGCAATTTTTATTACAGCTCATAAAAGTAGGGAACTTTTTGATTACACTTTGATAAAATTCATTAGGATTACTTACGAGCAGTAGCTACTGAGTGTGAATTAGGTACGTGTGAGTGATTTGGGCATCACAAAACAATCAAGATTACTCTTAAAAACCAAAGCAGAATATATAGAGAACTAAAAAGCTGTGCGATGACGAGCTCTTTTTCACCTAAGTTTAGTAAGTAAATGATAGATCTCTAAACAGAATTGGATGTATTTTATGCATTAATATATTTCCAAGCAGTCATTTTAATAATTAAAGCTCATAAAAGTCTATGAAGAAGTTTGTACTATATACAAAAGGTTGGTTGTTTTTTAATCTGTGGGTTCAGGTGACATTTGGTGATACAGAGGATGGTAGCAGATTTTGTGATCATCAGAATCCTAAGACATAAATGAACCAAACAGTACATGCAATTTATCTGCATTGATGTAAAATAGCGGTAGGGCTTCCAGTCCATTTATAATTTTGTTTTGTTCTTGTTTGTTTATTGCTTTTAAATAAATAATGGCTTTTAGGTACATAAGTGGAAGTTGGAGGCTTTGTTTTTATTGGGGGGGTACTTTTTTAGCAATGCTTTACTTTGGCTCCTCTATATTACTGGCTTGTTAAACCTATAATCCAAACATGTCTTCAGGATGTATGTGCTGATGCTTTACTCTTAACACTTTTCTTCAGCAAGTTTTCAGTACTGTAAAACTTGTCTATTTCCAATTGAAGTCTCTTGAAGCACATCCAAAGCAAACTAAAGCTAGAAACCCTATCCATGACAAAAATACAAATTTGTAAAGAGAAGAAAGGGAAGAAGGATTAAAAGGGAAAATACGCTTACCAAAATCTCATGTGTTTGTGAAAGTGGTGAGAATGCATGAAATGGAAATTGAGATTTACGCTGATGGTTCAAATCAGTAATGCTCATATACTAACTTGCAAGTGGGGGTGTGTTGCCAGCCTCACCAGTGCTTGCTCTAGTCCTCATACAGTCGCTATCTTAATTTCCTCTGGTGATTAACCCTATTTTAGAGGCCTGGTCTTAGCATATCTATTTGCCAGATAGGAAGTGCATCACCACTGGATTTGCTTGCATTCCATTAAATACCAAGCTTTTTCAAAGATTTCTTCCCTTCCTGCTCAGCTGTTCATTATCAACGTCTACTCATGAAATATTAAGTCTTAAAGTCAGAATACAAGATGAAGATAACTTGTTTTGATTTTCTGTATTCATCAGTAGGACTGCTTACATAGAGTGGTACAGAAAGATTACTCTTCAAAAAATGGATGCCTATCTGACCTCTGTGTTAATTCTTGAGCTTTCTTTAAATTTAAAAACTATCAAATTTCTAGGAACTTAGATTAATACTGGAAACATGTAGTAGGATTGGAAGTCTTCTGCTCAGTCTTGTTACTCACAACTGCTGGAGTAGAACTGTCATCTTTTACATGTATAGCCTCTGGTTTACATGTCAAAAAGATATTTCTGCAATGCTTTTCCCTTCTGTGCATAATCGCTTATAATTTATTTTTTTAATCTGTCATTTGTTTTAGGAAAATACTTGCATGTTCTCTAGCAGGTATTTGCAGCTGAAGGTGGGAGTGTATTTGTCTGATACACTTCAGTCATAGCAGTAATGGTGACCTAGACTTTTCTCTTTACCATATCAGATATAAGCCACCTTCTGTGACACTGGCAAGTTCCAAGTTTTTTGTAGTTTTAAACTAAGGAAATTATTACATAAATTAGAGCAGGACATAATTAAGTTGTCTGAAGTCAAATATTAAGTACTCTGAGAATTATTTCCAAGTTATGCCAGTTGTAATGTCAGTAGAATGACTATAGAAAAAAAAAATTTTATGTCAGTGTGGTAGTGTCAATTTTTTTTCTACAAAACATTGTGAAAAACCTTTCCAGATGTCACATATACAAGATCCTTTAGATAGGGAGAAAAGCATATGAAATAGTTTTCATTTCTGGGTTAGAAGAGATTTTTTGTTTATTCCCACGTTCCCTTATAAACCACTAAAGCAATTTAAATGCCTTCAGTTGATAATGCAGAGATGCAGCACCTTGAATTAAACAGAGCAGAAATTTTCTTAAGATGTGTTGATGGCTGTGTACCTGTAAGCTCTTCTTTGGGCAGATGTGGTCCAAATTTGGAACTCCTCTAAGGGCATAAGGATTTTCAGAGAAACCTAAAAACACTCAGGCCCCCAAAAAGTGAAGTTGCTGTTTATCTAACTAAAAGATTGAGGAACTTACCAACTGATGGCTGTTACTGTTGGGGGCAGATAATCTGATTTACCAGTACTTTACCCCATTTAAAGATATCTCTTGATTGAGACCGACAAACTGGGTCATGCACAGCTTTGTAACTACAGGCTCTAAACACTGTTCTGCACAGAAGACGTGTTTTTAATACATGTAGCAGGTAGTAAGGTAACAGGGCACTGGTTGGCACACACTCTAGTCCGAGTGCTGGCCCCTATCACATGAGGATCCTTGCGCTGGGAGTTGCAGGTGTACGTCTCTCTTCCCCCTGGGATGATTTTTCTAGAGGACAGTGCAGAGGAGTGCTGGAACTTCAGAGAAGCATCACAATGATACAGATCAGCAAGAGGCAAATTAAAATCAGGCAGAAATTCACAAAGAGCTCTTGGAGCCTTTGGCGTGCTTGTGGGTTGACCTCAATAGTTGAGGCTCTCCTTAGAGCAGAGCGGGTTATGTGTTGGACCTTCTCCATGGCAACAAGAAAGCAGAGAGCACAAATCAGAGGGTTTAGGAGTGCAGGAAAGAAGAGCAGTTGTCAGGAACAGTGCAAAGTGCCTAATATCTTCTCTTTTTTTTTAGACAGCCTTTGTGGAGCTGGAAAAGCAGGAAAGCGAAGAATTAGAAATACAGAAGTGTTTTGAAGAGTGCAAATGGAGATTTTTTAGAAGTTCTAAAAAGTCTGAAATAAATAGATTGCTTTTACAGTGTTTTTAGTTTAAAACAGGATTTTGAAAATTTGGTTTTCAAGTTTAGATTTGTGCTGTACTGTACTTCTCCTCCTGAAGGCTACTAAGCATCTGCTTCTTAGCAGTGATGAGGAACTGTAATATGGAAAGTGTGAGTATGTGGGTTTTGCCCAGATTATTGCTTTAGATCCTAAACTCTCATCTTTCACAGTCTGAAAAGGCTGTGGCTCATTGCCCTCCCACCCACATCTCTCTGCTTTATTTGTTCAAGCACATGTGAAAGCATGATGATAAGACTAGGGTCACAGACCTTGCAGCCAGGAGATCTGGATAGTAGTGCTGGCTGTTACTGACAGGGGCAGATAATCTGATTTAGCAGAACCTTTTTTCCTTTTTCTGGAAGGGAGGAGAAAAAAAATCCTATTGAAGTTTTTCCATTCCAACTACAAGTTCTTTATGGGGGGCAATTAAAGCTAACGAGTCACTGCTGTAGGGAATTTTAGTAGTATATTTCTCAACAGACAGGACAGAATAAAGACTAAATCTTTTTTTATGCATGTAGGACAGTGTGTTACAAAATGTGGCTGCAAAGGTGTAGAAATGCTATGAGGAAAAAAATAAAGCATGTATACAACTTCATCTCTTAAATGAGTGTTATATTTAAAGTATATTCCCCCCCCTTTTAATTGCAGATGGAAGCACAGGGTGTCAGTTGTCTTAAAACTCCAAATAAGTAGTTGCAGTGTAAATCCCTCCTGCATGAACCTTCTGTGGCAGGAAGCTGGCTTTGATATATGCTTGCTTAGGTCAGGGTGAGGTGGATTCTGCAGGTGCTGTCACAATATGAAAACTTTGTTTTCAAGATAATAATGATATATGCATCTGTCAGACTTTGTTCCCAAAGTTGCACTTATCCCTAAACATTTTATGAATTGATATTGTGATTGAATCTTTCACAGAAGGCCTCTCCTTGTCACCTTTTTTTTTTTTCTTGGCAATAAGTGAAATTCGTATCATGTGTGCCACATAAAGGAAAACCATTGCTTAGATGTCTGTTTCCCAAATTACTTGATGGTCCTGACTGAATCAGAGATTCTTTGTCGCCCATGAATTTGTCTCTATATGTGGCTAAATGGAAAAAGCTTAAAAGGAGACAGAACTGTCTTGCAGGCTTTTCTTTCTTAGTCCCTCCATGTTGGGCTGTAGAGTCAAAGGATTGAGCAGAATACATGTGCTTTCAGTGCCAGTGGCAGTGTTGGTATTTAAAAGAGACTTCCAAAAGAAATCAAATTGCACATGGTTATTTTGATACCTCTAGAGAATTCCATGTGATGACATCTTCTTCTAAAACTCAACTTCAGAGTTTGTTATGATGTTTTAAGCTATAGTTGATCTTTATTGCAAACAAAACACACACCAGGAACTTGCTCTCGTGGTGACTATAATTTTTCATCTTTGTTTGACTTTTTGCTGTACCTGTTTTCATCTATTTAAGCAGTTAAAGTGCTTGCCAAATATGTTCTGCTTAGCTCTATGCAAGTCACTGTCAGTCACTAGTGCAGTAAAAGCAAGACATGCACAGGAATTATCAAGTCTCTTGACTGAATGTGCATTCATTCTCCCATCCCAATACAGGCTGGAGTGCATTAGGCTGTTTATCTTCTTCCAGACAAGTCACAGTAGATGAACCACTAATGGATTAACACTGGTAGAGAAGAGTTTGTGTAATGAGCTTGTGTGACACACTGTACAGGGAACAGTATTTCCTGCGGATGACTTCATCACAGCTTCTTGTGTCATTTTTTTAATGCAGTGTGTGTGCAACCCTTGGTCTTTGGGCTCTGTGTCCTGCTACAGCAACATTTCTTTTTCCTGACTACTGTTTTTTTGGGACCCACATGAGGATTGGAGCAGCATCGATGTTTACCTGTGTAAATGCATAATAAGTCCATTTCATGAGTCCAGCATTAGATTGAACTGTGCACGTGCTGGCACCTGCACTACTGTGCTGCTGCAAATGTTTCACTTGCATGACTCAAGGGGCGAGGACTTGGGGCTTTGAATGCTTCCATAAAAAGCATTATTAGCTGGTTGGGCATCACAGATGCAAGGCCAAAACAGGGCAAGAGAGGGTGAGATTGCTCTGGGAGGGGAAAAAAATATTATTTCTTTTTCTTAGGGAATGTTGCTGAGGGAACTGGCAATAGGTCAGAAGGCTCAGTCGAGCTGAGTTGGCAATATATATTTGGCCATATGTGACAAGACAGGTGACAGAAAAGGATCTTAAAAAATGGAAGGTAGCGTAAGTTAAAATGTATACCTTTAACAGCAAGAAAATGTTGTAGAGAAGGGATGAGGAAAGGACAAAATGGAGTAACTTGGGTTTCTTGATTTAAAAGCTTACAAGGTTTTGGAAGTTTTTACAACATGTACGTGTTTTTTAACCTACTAAGCCTGCCTGTGGGAGAAGTTTTCTTGTAAGCAAAGGAAGCCAATTCTGGGCCTGTATTTCAACAAGTTTGTCTTTACAAGTGCTTGACTTCAGCTAATAAACACATACCTTGCTTGTTAATCCTCCATGGCGCTGTCACCCACCTAAAGTGTGCATAAAGAGAAACAGATTCAGTAATACAGCTGCCTGTGCCTATGGGTGACTATCAAGGTCAAAATGGACAGCCTGGAACGTAATTACATAGAAATGAAGGCTGATTGTTGCCACAAATAGTAGCTGCTCTCTGCTGTTCAGTCCCCTTATTTTAGGCCAGTAGAAAGGAGAATTATGCATGCACACACCACTTGTTGAAACAAGTGCAGCAAAAGGGCATACTGTAGTTTATATGTTTTTTAAGTCTAAAAGTGTTACTCCTGTAGCATTGTACAAGAGGAACTGTTGACTGCATTGCTGTGCAGTTATATGTTTTATCAGTGCTGTTAATGGATAATAAAGGCTTGTCTTAAGCACAGTGCGGATCTGCAGGGTCAGTCTTGTGGCTGATCCTGTGTGTTACTATGTAGTGAATCCCCTGTACCCAGTGCCCTAGAATGAATCACCAATCACAATTACTGTTTCCTTCTTCACCGACATGTGACTGTTTCCCTGATTTGTATTAGGTTATTTTTATCTTTGTTCCTGGGTGTCCTTCACAATAAGAGGGGGGTATGTGACCAAAGTGAAAACTGTGGGCCACTCTCATTCCTGGTGCAACTGCGTTGACTCCTTTGAAGTCACACAGATTAAATTTGGCTCCTTTGGAAATGCCACAGCAATTTTGGACGCAGCCTGTTTCCTGTCATATGTTTACTAAATGCAGCAGTGATATCAGTGGAATAGAAGAGATTTGACTTTTTTGAATTCTTGCAGTTCCACGTGAATAAGTGAAGCCCTGAAGGGGTATTGTTAAAAAGTAATGTTGCATAAGTCTATTGCATAGATTTTAACAGTGAAATGTCCCAAAACCCCAGTTGTTCACTGCCGTCCGTTGAAAAGAAATGTCTTAATAACCATAAACAGTGATGCAAAATGTACTATCAGGGTATGTTGATTGAAGATCTAGACACTGACTTGTGGCATATAATGTCGTTTTTCAATGACATGGAGAAAACATTTCCTTATGATGGGGAAAGAAGCAACAACTCATCTCATAGTTTGAGAAGTGCTGGTAACAGGAAAAGGAAACTCATTTTATCCTTCTTTCTGCCTTTTGTTTTAAAGTCTGTTTTGTGCTGAAGTGTCGGCATTTTTCATGTGTTTGGGAGAGGGTAGGGGAAGGCTCACACTTGAGTGTCTTTTTTTTGTTCCCCCTCTTATTAATTTATTGCTCTTACAAGCTTCCTTCTGACTAGCGTTAGTATTCTCGGTGTTCTAAGAAGCAAGACCAACAGTAAGAGCCTTTACCCTTGTTTCAAGCGCATCAGAATGTGAACGATGTAGATGCAAAGCAAGTAGACTGATGAATAGTTGAACACACCAGGCATTTCGGTTTTTGGAAGTTATTCACATGCCTTGGGGATAACTGGAACTTGTATGTGTGCTGGTCCATTAGAGTAGCCTGGGAGCCAAAGCTTTGGGCTAGTGTTTAGGGAGGGTAAATTTCCTGCAAGTGCTGCAGGACCATACAGGAGAATCTTGAGCAGGTGCTTCATTCTCCATACTCATCATCTCCCCTCATCAAAATAAGACATAAAATAACGTTTTACCATTTCCAGACTGTTGGTATGATTTACCTTTTACATAGTAACTTTCTTTTAGGAAATAAACTCTTTCCTCCAGTGTGTTCACTGTGTACCTAACAAGTTATTTCATGTTGAGTTTTAGGTTCTGGTGGTTCATAGGTTGTATAGGAATTGGGCTAAGTGCAATTTGAATTAAAAAATTGAAATATATCTAGCATGTATAAAAAGTAGAAATGTAACAGAATGTTCCAGGTTTTGTTGTTAACCTTTTAGGGGCTCAGGGAACAACGACATGGCATTGATTGAGAAGGATATAGTAGGTGAATTCAACTTCTGAGAAGTAACTTGATGCCAGGAAAGTCCTCTTAACCCATTTATCAATATCCAGAAAGCACAAGCAGTCTTCCAGTTCTCAAATGTCTTGTAGTTTAGGGAACATAACGTTGCTTCCCCGTGGGATTTTTTTGTTTCTCCAGTTGGGGTACTTTTCCTAAATCAAATTATTATTAAAGCAAATAAAAAGCTGCTCTTGTAGCTGTCTAGACATATCCCATACATTTTTGTTTGCTGATGGTCTGAAAAAATATCAGTGAAAATCACCTTTATGCTCTCA